CAGCATGAATAATCTCTCTATAAATTAAGCTGGCACTCACTGTCAGCATTCCAAGTATCATGCAGAATTAAATCAGAGTTCAAGGCAAAACGATACTTAAAGTTCCAATTTAATAAGACATCTCCGCACCTCTGCACCTGACCGGAACCAGCTGGGTGGAGATACCAGCGTGGAAGAAGAAGATTGGATCATGTGATGGATTTGTGGGTGTGGGGACAAGATCATGAACTTTCAACTGGCCGGGAATCCTATTTAACTTCCAGAATTGGGATTCCACAGATGTGCCAAGATGTCTTATTAAATTGGAACTTTAAGGATCGTTTTGCCTTGAACTCTGATTTAATTCTGCATGATACTTGGAATGCTGACAGTGAGTGCCAGCTTAATTTCTAGAGAGATTATTCATGCTGGCCAGCTGATTTTTGGTCATTTTCAGAGAAGCCTCCTGAAGCCTCTGGAGGGAGAAAAACGGCCTAACGGGCAACACAGAAGTCCATTCCCGAACTTCCAGTTTGCACGTTGGGTCATTTTTTTGTCCCCTCTAGGTTCCTAGAAAACTTCTGGAGCCTGGGAAGAGCAAAAAACAGACCTACTGGGCCCACCGGAAGTTGGAAAACAGGTCGTTTCCGGCCTCAGGAGGGCCTCCGGGAGGTGGGGGAGTTCGTTTTTGCCCTCCCCGGGCTCCAAGAAAACTGTGTGCGCATGCACAGGGCAGCACCGGGGGTGAGGGCACATGTGCATGCGCAAGGGGGCATGGCGCAGAAAGCAGTAAATTATGGGGGTGGGCACGTGAGTACGTGCAATAGCGCACACATGCGTCGTTTTGGCACCTGAGGCGAAAAAGGTTCGCCATCACTGATCTAGGAGGACCTACAACTCATGATTCTGCTCTTTCAGGAGAGTGCTATCCTTTTAGGTGTCAACATGGAGAGTTGTCAAGAGTTGTTAGGTGTCAAACACAGAGAGACTGACTCTCTCTCAGCTGGTTTTCATGCCTAAGGAAGGATTAGAACTCATAGTTTTTTTGTTTCTAACCTAGTGCCTTAAAACTAGACCAAACTCACTCTATGATAAATATGTAATATATTTACTATTTTTTAAAAAAGTCTTCAGCCTAGTTCACTTGTGGAATTAGATCTTGGTTTGGAAAAAGTATTCTGAAGTACAGTCAGGTGTTACATAACTTTCATTCCACATCTCTGTATGCTGCTCATCAAAGAGAAAAATATTATCAACTGTTGGATAGATGCAGTCCCTAAGATTAAAAATCTATTTAATTCATAACAAAAATGAATTTACAAGTACAGAATTACTTATCAATTAAATGTGAGCAAAACAGTTGAGCAAAACAGTTAAGCAAAATCCTAAAAAAAGTAAATAATTTAAAACCTATACCCTAATTGGTGTTGAAAAAGCTCATTTAAAAAAGGATTCTTTTTTAAGAATCCCCATAATCTAGGGGAGAAAGGCTAAATGAATAATACTAGATTACATAGACTTAATAGGGTTTTTTATTGATATGAAAACACAGTGCATCATCTACTGACAAAACTTACTGTTAGGATGAAACATTTCACATGTGAATCTCATCTTTGGAGGACTTAAAGGATAATCAAGAGGAAAACTCAGAATAGCAGGAAAAACTCCATACTCAAAACACGTCTCTTCTGGTCCCCTAGAAGCAAATAAATAAATAAACAAATAAGCTTTTTAAAGTCTGGGGCTATTTAATACTTTTAAATAAACAAATATTAAATTAGGCACACACAAATGGATTATGTAGGATCTGTAGAATTTCAAAGCTTTACTGTGTATTAAAATTAAGGTCTGTTTTCATTTAACCATAATAGTGAAATTCATTTCCAACTTGAAATAAGAAAAAAAACATTAATGAATACCTGCTCTACTGTGCCACTAACTGAGAAAGAAGATATGTACTACAGGCATACAAACTGTTTCAATGGCAAAATATTCTAGCTGTAAAACATCCTATTCAAACTTTACCAAAAGTATGACAATGCCCTTCCAACTTACCAGTATTTCATCCTTGAAAAGAATCATTCTGATTGTGAAATGAAGTGCTTGGGGATAAGAATATTAGATCCTAAATATGTAACACATATTTGTTACAGTTAGATGCAAATGAGAAGTCTCCTAACTTGCATACGATACCATAAATTTTTACTTTTATTTCTTAAAAAATAAAGCTGGCTATCTAAATATTAGGAAAGAGTTGTCCTAACTAGTGAAATCCCAGTTATCCAAAGACAATATGCATGATATAAATAAACGCAGCTTCTCTAAAGTATAAAACTCCTGTTATTCAAATATGGCTAGGACTAGTAATATAAAACTCATAAGTTTCTTAGCTGGAACCATCTTTATATTGTTAATTATTTTAATAAAAATTATATGTTTTAGTGAAATTCTGAAACAATAAGATAACTTTGGAAGTGCTTAGATTTGAACTTTTACTGAATTCTCTCAATTTTAGCTTTTGCCAAATCTGAAGTACACATTTAAATAAAATCCATATAACAGAAATTATTTAAAAATATAGCAAGTCTCTGCTCCCTACCGATCATCCTGCATTACATTATCAGTTAATAGTCACAGCACAACAGTTCTGCACTAAACAGTCCTTACAGTAAATCTACACCAATTTCATCAGATTATTTTATTTCAAGAAAGAAGCCTAAAGAAATTTAGGCTAACCTTTCCCACATTCATTACCCCTACCCTAAAACAAAAAGCTGAAGGGCTGAGAAATCAAAGCTTGTACATTTAAGTTATAAGGAAGGTCACAACACTACATAATTGCTAGGGTGTGTTTATTTAATTGAATTCAATCTGTCTCGAAGGCATGTTCCAAATTTTAGTACCTGCACGTCAAGAAATATTGCTAGCAAGTACTGAAAATGCTGCTTTGAACACACTGTTTATTCAACATGGACAAAGGTGTCAAAAGCTGCAATTTAAAACATTTTAAATAACAAAAGAGTATTACATTGCAGCCAGGCATGGAATATAGGCTTCTGCACACTAAGCAATTTGTGATTTTCTACTTTATGTTATTTATTGTTATTGTATTCTAGCTTGGCCCACTATACAAAAGCAAAATAGAAAGGAAAAAAACCTAACCTCAACTGAAGTTGTAGTTTGCAATTATTTCATACGCTGAAATTTCATCACTTGAAAATGAAATTGATATCATGTGATAGAATCTTACTACAGTATTCATTCAAGTAAGTGGTGGGTTGCTCCTGGTTCGGCCGAACCGGTAGAATTCAGGTCTGGGTCGCAGAACCGGCAGTGACTCAGGCCTGCCACGCCCCCTAACCAGTTCCCTCGCCACCACGATTTTGTTTTTTTGTGACTGCGCAAACGCAGTTCACTGTAAGTTGTTCTGCGCATATGCGAAGATCAATTTACATTGAATAGTGCATGCCTGCGCAGCGTGCATCTTGCACACACAAGAGCGGACTAAGCTGCGCACACATTGCAAACTAGGAATAAAACCAGCAGCAAACCACCCCTGATTCAAGTAGAAAATCTTGCTTAAAACTAAATTTATGTGGTAGAAATATTGATCATTTCACATAAATATTATCTTATATTATTTTTATATTTAACATGCATTTTGTAAATCCTTCTAAAAAACTAAAAGGGTAGTTTTTGGACCAACTGTCTGCAGTTTGTTTCCATCTCTTTAGGAGGGGTATCCCTCACATCCTGGAAGTCAATAACTGGAGTTTCACAATAAATTATTTTTAATGTAAAAAAATGAATTGCAAGAATTTTCATGATAAGTCAATAATTTCATCTTAAATATCAAGAGACAAAGTGGAACACCTCAGAATATTAGTTTTATGCAGTCATCAGATAATACATGTATCCTGGAATATACACAAAACATTTGACTACAACTGGCATTAAACAAAGTTAAAATATTGCTAAAGAAAATAAAAAGGTGGAGAATGTTCGTGCAATGATATACTTAAATAGGCAAACATTTACATGAAGTCAGTTAATGAGATAATCAGTGTTTTATATTTATAGGAAGCTTATTTCTTCTGTTTTCATTTTATCCCACCCCTTCCACTTCCTAAAGCACAAAGGGGAATTCCAAGTTGAAACAAACTCACATATCATAGAAACTAAAACATATAATTACATATCTAGATAACCTTTGGATATATCTTTACATATCTTTAAACCTTTGGATTAAAGTTGTACTTATTATTTTAAAAATTAGCTGTAGGCTAAACCAAACAATGACCAGTGCCTATATTGTTATGATAATAAACACTAAGATTTAAACAAATCATCAATTCCAAATCTAAGATATTCTGATAAGAAATGGAAAAAACATTTTAGCCTGCATATAATTCAATGAATTTATTTGCATATAACAGTATTCATAATCATAATATAATTTAATAGCCAAATTAATTCATTTGTTGGAAGAAAGATGGTTATTTGTATGCTTTAGACACTTGCATGAGATTCTAAATACTTTAAACAAGCATTGTTTATTAGATATGGAAGAAACAAATTATTAAGCAAATGATCAACAGCAACTCTGCATGAATTTTTTTTTCATATTTTGGAAATTATTTCAAGTAAGTTATTACAGATAGTCTTTGACGTATTTGTTTACTGACCGTTTAAAGTTACAATGGCACATGGTCACATGATCAAAATTCAGGTACCTGGCAACTGGCATATATTTATGACTGTTGTAATACTGTCCAGGAGTATGTATCACTATTGGTTACCTTCCTAGCCAGCAGACAAGCAAAGTCAATGGGGAAACCCATATGTGCTTAATGACCAGATGATTTGCTTAACAACTGTGGCAAAAATGTCATAAAATGGAATGTAACTCACGTAACAACCGCCTTGCATAGCAATGGAAATTTGTGGCCCAGTTGTGGTCATAAGTCAAGGACCACTTCTACAATAGTTTTGTTTTTTAAAAAACTATATAGTTTTTATGCAAGTTATATATATTCCTATTTAGTGTTGTAAACATAGTATTGTAACAATAATACATGAACTGTGTGAAGAACTTTTTATATTTCTATTGTAGATTTTTAGCTTTTTATCGTTATGAATATTTTTAGAGTCTTAGCAACTTTGATGGGTAGATTTCAACAGAATTTTCCCAGCCATAGTTGAAGTCCACCCACCTTAAAATTTCTAAGCTTGCTAACTGCCATGCTGCCTAGGGAATTCTGGGTGTTGAAGTCCACCAATCTTAAAGTTGCTAAGGTTGCTAAACCCATGCTGGCTAGGGAATTCTGGGAGTTGTAGTCCAGCCATCATAAAGTTTCCAAGGTTGAAAAACATGGTCTATAGGTCTTTAAATTGATTGTACTCCATTCTCTTTATATTGGCCTTTGACCATAATAGAGATTTGATTTGATTGTGCAGGACAGTTACTTAATTATGATCTTTAATTTATTTTAGTATTTCTATAATATATTGCATTTGTGTAATTTTAAAGCCCCACAAATACAAAAGTCAACAAAAAAGTCAAATGCCAAGGGGAAAATACATTTCCAAAAAGAAAACCTGTGACTGCAAATCTTTCTGATCCTTACAATTTGTTTAACACTATTATTACTGCAGAGCAAATGTCCAAGAGGTCTCTCCCCCCTCTATCAACCTCTTTCAGAAAGTTGAAGATGGGAAAACAGTGTGTTGCACCATCAGGAGGTTTCCCTGCTTGCAGATCAAACCTCCCAATACTGTATCTCTCAGATAGCATTGCTGCCTCACCGAATGAGAATAACTCACCGAATAACTCTTTATTCCTAGCAAATGGAGAAAGCCAGGATGTTTTTCTGAAGCATCAATTTGAGTCTTGCAAAAAACATGGCTTTAATGCTTCAAAGAAAGCTACTTTGTTCGCACTCCCATTCTTTCCAAAACATCTCTTCTAAATTCCAAAAGTGTTTTTTCAAGAGGCAATTGGACTTTTTGTTTTTTCTTGAAAATGTTTTGCTTCTCATCCAAGAAGCTTCTTCAATTCTGAAGAAGACCCAGATGACTGAGAATCTCCATAGCCATCTCTTCTAAATGCTTCCAAAAGCCTTACTTTATATGATTTCTTGTTGACCATGTACTCCATCCACCAGTCCACTATTTGTGAGTGCATGTTGTTGCATTTGAATGGCCAAAAAAGGTAGGAATACTGCTGATGAACCATCCTCCAGCCAGTCATGATGATGTTGGCATGGCACTGAAACTGTTTTAACTTGGTGAATGTCCTAGTCAAAAACTAAACAGGGTGGAGGAGGAGCCAATGTCGTGACGATACGGTCGTGCGATCTTGATGCTCCGAGACCGCAGCCAATACTTTTGTCGCTGGGTGGTCCAATCGGACCTAAACCGTCCCGCAGAGATGGTGAACAAGAAGAATACGTCTTGCTTATCTCAGGGACATCGCAAAATCCCTGATCGATCCAAGAGAAGTTCTTCAAGCTGGCGACAAAAAATCCAGCCATTAGGTTGATGAAGTCGGGGCGGCTCCAAAACGGAAGCATACGAAAAGAGAAAGTGTTTCCAGCTGGTGAGGAATTTTTACCATTTTAAAAGAGACTGCCTATAAAAAACTTAAAGTTAATTTAAATTGGAGAACAGAAGAAATAAGCGGCGGAATTAAGTTTGGAATGGTTTTGGACAGTGCGCTATTTTACTTTTTAAATGCTATGTTCATGGATAGAATTTATGCAAGCCTTTTAAAACGAATGAATTAAGATTTCTTCTTCTATTTTTTCCCCTTTTATTACTCTTTGTAACTTATGAATTTTATAGGCAGTCT